TGCCAGATGGGTATTTTCCAGGGTCAGCAAAACTGTGAAAACAAGTGGGGCCCATGGAAAGGCCCGGAACTCTGCTCTATTGTGAAGTTGAGCGTTTGGACAGCTTGAGCCGGTTGGATTTAGGGCTTTAGAGCTTATTTAAAGAAAAGACTGTAACAAAGTGGTGCAAACAGCGAGCTTGTTTCTCTTTCTTTTCTTTTCTTTTTTCTTTCACTATGAGCACAAGAACTTGACCTATTGTGAATGGCTGGCACGTCAAGATCCTGTGTGATTAACACCTTGAAGTCAGTTCTCTGGGGTTTTTTTTATGTAACTAGGCAAAACTTTAAAACTGGACAACAAAAATCTTGTTACTCATCTCGTTGTATCATCAAGTCTTAGCTCGACTCAGTCCAAGCTACTGCTCAGAACCAACAAAAGCACAGGAATAAGGCATCCTAGTCTCCATTTACTTCATGTACATTGCATTGAAACATTGCATTGACAACTGCAACTGCAGATAAGACCTCTTCAGATCTCTTATCTGCTTAATGAAATAAAGAAATAGCCCGTAGGTGTCCACAAAATACGTTTTGAGTTTTCACTTTTCACTCTTTAAAAGAGTCTGAGCATTTAAAAAGTCTGCAATTATTCAACAATTAATGTAACAGTTTATCAGGTCTCTTGAATTAAAGCCGAGCCTCTGCGCTTCCCTTGGATCTCAGTTCATTTCAACTCCATTTGCTGGGATACAGAGGCGAAATCCAAACATTTCCGGAGCCAAGTTGTGTTTGTACCTTCAAGTTTTCTCAGATGCAATGTGAATAATCAATGTTTAAATGACAGCTGTTTGTTTGAAGACACAAACACTTGCTTAATCATGAAATGTACAATGACGGTGCCCAGATGGGTTGTGAGGTATTGTCTGTCACATCACCATCCTGCTGTATTTTCGGCTCAGACGGCTTCTCTGACTGCAGAGCTTGAGTATATTTAGCCACACACATTGAATATTTAAGCCATCCTGTCCACTGTTGCTATAGCGATCTTCATTCAAAGTAGAGCTGTGTTTGAGCTTTGTAGTAGGCAATGCTTCAAGTGATATGTTTTTGGGGGTTTTTTTAAACTGATAAATTTCTTGAAGTTCTCTCTGTGTGTATACTGTATATATGTCACTGAATATAAGTGTACACAGCAGCCTTCAGGCCACTTTATCATTGCCACCCTATGACCCAGTAGGGACTCTTGCCTTATTTTAGCTCCAGTACAACCAATAGTGCATATAAGTTTGCAGTGTTTGTCATGTCTGTTACATACGGCATTTTCATATGACGTGATAACTGTAAGAGCCTTGTCTATTAATCTACTGCCGAACTCTGTGTTTGACATTAATCACACTACATACTAGCATCCAGCGATAATGCTGTGACAGGTCCTTGCTTTGTGTCTCAGTGTTGTGTTTCATGAGGGAGTGAAGAACAAAGCAGTTGCAACTGATGCTTTTGTCCACTCTTCTCCAGGCTAGCAAAGGCTGCATGTTCACTCTGTCCACACTTAGCCCGCTGGTTCAAAGAGCAAACTCTTGTGTGAATGACCGATTGGGTTCAGTCATTCATATGCTGATGACGGATTCAGTGTTTCCATTGTTTACTGCCGTGTATCTGGAAGGGAGAGGTGATCCGTGCATTCCTATTACTGAAAACAACAAGTGGGGGTCCCTGTACATGTTTTGCATGCGGGGACATTATAAGAGATGAGCCATGTCTTTTTTTGTTATCTCTTCTATTTGCTAGCTTTGGTTACCCCACCACATCTCTCAAACTTAACATGGATTCACTTGAATTATGCTCTTCAGGCAATCCTTATAGAAGCCATTATCTTTATGTATTGTCTATTTTTGTTTGGTGATGCTACATTGTAGCTACATTCTAGTATCCAAGCATTTGGACTTTTAGTATAATTAACCTTCATAGGACCAGATGGGAACTCCATCCAGTCTTGCAGCACTAGTCCAGACCTGCTAGTGTGAGAGTGAGAGTGACCAGCCTAGGATGTGACATGCAAAATAACACGACATGAACCCAGTACATGCCCATGCTATAGTATTTTTGGCCTATTTGTGCTATTTCTTTTTTCATTAATTCAACAGGATGCTTGCATAAGATGTCGCAGGCACATAAATGCTAAAAACGGGTCATTTTTACATATTGCTAGGTGGTTGCCAGGCAACCTGATGGGGTAATACAAATTATTCACAAGGGGTTGTCATAGTGGGTAGCTCCCTATGTTGGATTTGGCAGATTTTTAAATGAAGCCATCAGGTGTCTGATGGTGTATAAATTAAGTTTTGTGGACATAAATAAAATGTCTTTATAATGAAATAAAAGGATGCAGGTGCATCAGTGCTGAAAGCAGCTCATATAAGTTGCCCATTGCTAGGTGGTTCCTAGGCAACATGGTGATATCATAATATCTGATATGGAAAAGAACTTAAAGGAGCCTAAGATGCACCCGTGCGCCAGGTTTTATCGCTCAGCTCCTGGCGATGTAGGTGTTGGAGTTGGCGGACAAAGAAACAAACAAATGTGCAGACTGAGATTTTATGTCTTACAGTAAAATGCTCTGTTTGGATGCAAAGACACAAAAACAGTATGTTTTATCTGTATTATTTGCACAAAAATGTGTTTGTCTGCAGTTATGAGATCATTGAGAACACAGACACATGACAGAGTGTGGACTGTCTTGGTGCAGGTTTGGTTTGCCATGAGATTCCAGTTCTGTAGCTATTGTATTTTGATATATATTGTTAATACATCTATTTGATGTACCTGTGCTCTTCTAAGGTTTGGTACAGTGCGCTACTTGCACCTTTTCTGGTTGATATTTGTGAAATTGGTGACAGCTGTTCTGATTATAAGTCACCTGTCCCAGTCAAGGGGCACATGGTGCACAGGATGCTCATCTTAAATTGTATTTTTGTGCATCACTTGGTCTTACACACGTGGTTTCATTCATGATTTATTTATGCTTTCACATGAATTGTTGAGAAAATACTAGAATAGGGTGAACTAGTTGGGAATTCACCATGTGTCACAGCCTATTACAATAAAACGTATGATGGTAATCTGTCTTAAATTTGTCATGGATCAAATACGATACATTAGTGAGGAACTAGTATATAAAAGGGTCTTGTATTTAATTTTATCTATATTTTTGTTCTGGAATTCAAACACACTGAAGAAGACCCAGCACATAGTACAGTTTTAAGGGCCAAATTTAAGTAAGAGGGTTTGCGTCCAACCCAGTAATAAAAAATAGAAATCTGCCCATCATGTCTTCCCAGAAGTCCCCAAAACACAAATGTTCTATCTGACCAAACATAAAAGACGTTCATTGAACACCTTTGTGCTTCATGTTGGTTTACACGTCCACCAGCAGCACGGAACACAACAGCCGCCCCCACCACTTACGGCCATGTGCCACAGTTTGTGCCATTCTCCATCCTCCTATCATCATGTGCAGTTGCCCACAGGGTTTCCCACAGTGTTTTGTAGCCCAGACAAGAATCTGCTTACATCATAAAAAATGTATAACCTTACAAAACCACCCATTCACCTTTAAAGAAAAGCAGCACAGGTGTCGTTCTGAATAACCAATGTCATAATTTCATTGTCTGTTCTGATTTTAATCTAGTATGTCATCCTTTATTCGGAAATTCAGCAGGTTATGGGTTGGGTGTTGCCTGTGCTAAAATCAGAGTATTTGCTTGATTGTCCCCCAACTTCCAGGTGTGTCGTATATGCGCTTAACTACAAATCTTCTGGCTGAGACAGAGATCGTATACTGCACGGTGCATATCAGATCAGCAAGCTGCAAACTTTAATAGCATGCATCTTGGCATGTACAACGCCAGAAGTTAATATGAAATGCCAAAAAGCACAAGAGGGAGCATGAGAGGCAATAAAAATACTCATTAGAAAGCTAAACTGTAGCTCTGCACTAAAATCTCATGTGGTGGTCCTTTACTGTTGGCAGAAATTAATGTATACTTAAAACTCTAAATGTTTAACAATTAATGTCTTTTAAGGACAGCTTTCCCTTAAATGTATTCTTAATGGCGTCACTAAGGAATACACAATGTACACTATACTTAAAATGATCATCGACTGAAAGAACTGAACTTTAGGTAATCATATGTATTGATGTCAGAGGCGTGCATTATTTATCTTAGTGAGTCAACAGATGTGAAGGCTCTGTGATGTCCTTGTCTTTTAAAATCAAGCAGCCATTGGTACAGCAGCATCTGACAGTCAGACAGAAGCTGTCATCACCGCTCTCTATGATTCAAGGCTCCAAGCTGCAGTGAAGTCCCAAATGTAACGGTAGATCAGTAATTCATGACCACTAACAGCAGCCATCGACTGACGTAATGGCTTGCATAACGCCATGTCAAGTAACCAGGCCTGGCAGGCACACTGTCACACAGATCACTTACAGGGCCTTTTGTTAGCTTCTGTCATTAGGAGAAGAAGGCTCCTTACTCAGCCAGAGATGTTTGAGATAGTCTAGTTCTGGATCACAGAGCCTAGCAGATAGGAACCTTGTGCACAGTTAAGGTCTGGGACTGCATGCAAAACAGAAATAGTGAAATATCACAGTGAGGATCATTCAAATTTGATATTTTTTCTAAAGATTTCTTAATAACTATGTGGATGTAGCTTACGCCATTTCGTTTCGTCATTGCTGCTTTTGTTGTTGTTGTTGTTTTTGAGTTCCCGTATTAGCTTGGCCATTATTAGCCATGTTAGCACATGGTGCTTCAAGCCTATTAAGCCTCAAGTGATGTAAGGCTGAGCAAACAGTGTACGTGCTGTGCTGCTGTCCACACTGACCTGTAGGTCAGCGCTGTCATGCAGAGCAGTTTGTCTTAATATTTGTTGTAAGGGTAAATCACATTGGAATGAATTCTCTTCTTTTTCTCTCTTATTTTTTTTTTTGTTTGTTTCTTTGGGTTTTTTTAGCACTGCCAGTAACTCAAACAAGAGCACGCCCGCCTGCTCACCAGTCCTGCGTAAACGCTCGCGCTCACCCACACCACAGAGCCAGGAGGGTGAGAACATGGTGGAGAAGGGTTCAGACCACTCCTCTGACAAGTCCCCCTCCACGCCTGAGCAGGTTGTCCAGAGAACGTACTCCGTGCAGTCGGCGCGAAGCGGGGGAAAGAACTCAAAGGTGAGTACACGGGAGATTCGCCTTTTTATCTTCTCGATGCATCATCTGGAATCTGATCAGATGGAAATACAATACGGACTGAAACACGGTGCACTTTCACTGGCATATTAAAAAAAATTTAAAAAACGGATAAAACAGAGGATCCAGCTCTCAGCATCTCTCAGCCCTTTTTAAGCTGTGTGTCCTTTCCACCCAAAACACTCAGAACTGCAGAAAGAGAGGCCCCCGTACACCTCGACAACACTTTGCGTCACACAGAGCTGCTTCACAGTGGGACACCAGGTGTCAATATCACAGACAAAGATAAAGGTGCGACGGGCAGGATGAGGCCTAAGTGGAACACTTAGTAATAATCCTCAGTAATAAATTATTCATTGAGAATTAATTAAACTGTAGTAAAAAATTATTTCAGTGTGAAGGAATTATCATTGATTATGTTTGATAATTATAGTTATTATTAGTTTGTACACTAACTGATTTGGCTGGGCATCAATCATTATCAGGGACGCTGCTTATTTTAACCAATTATTAAACATTATTAATTATAATGTAATATAAAGTCAAAAACTGTTTGTTCAAAATAAGTAAGCTGTTTATTAGCTATCTATTCACCATTTAACAATGATCTTTAGCATAAAGTGTTACCTGCTTTGACAATATGTTGTCTTTAACCTCAAACCTAAGCATACACATTATTACAGTTGAGTGTAATTTTTACGTTGTTGTTTCCACTTTGGCTCAAATACAGTAAAATGGTGGAGACGAATTTCAGGACTCTGGAGAAGATTTGGTTTTATAACATGAACGCTTACTCAGCAAGAATATAATCGTGTAGGAAACAGACATAAATCAATAGGAGGGCACCGAAATGAGGTTAGCAACTACCTGCCATGCTTTGGATTTCCTCTGTGATTTTAGTCCTGCTGTGTTGCATTACATTTTTTCATCTTCTAAATTAGTCCTCCTGACTCTCTGACAGTCGTGTTGATATTTTAACTGTTGTGATCCAGCTGTGTAACTGTGGCTGCACTAACACGTCAGTGTTGGCCCGGCTTTAGTTATTTTCTAGTGTAGTGACGCACGTGTTAGGATCGGTTATTGACTTGGTAGGTGCCTGATGATCTGTAACTATCACTCCACCCCTCCAAAACCAATCTGAACATATAACACTATTCTCTCTATTCCTCCTGAACACACATTTTTTCACTAATTTTACAATAAAAGATTAAAGAATCAGTAAAGTTTTATATTGTACCTGTTTTAGCTTGCTAAACAACAAAATTAATCCAGGAAATGACTTACATTGACAAATGTAAAATGTAAACAATGGTTTCAAATCAGAGATTAGGATTTCTTGCGCTGAGCATGTTCTCTGTGTAGCTTTCAAGTGTTGCAGCGTTTTCTTTTTTGGATCTATCTGAGTTCTCATCAGCATTTCTCGTCACAAGCGAATTTAAATCTTTGAAAGTCAGGTATTCTCACAGAAGATACAAGCCATCACACTCCATCTCCTTTTTTGCCTTTGCCTCATCCGTCTCCGCTGATCTCCGTTGGGTTTTTGAGATCGTTTTCATTTCTCCACATCACACTGTGCACGCCGTCTCTCTCTTCGCTGCTGCTGCTGCTGCTGCTGCTACATGCCATAATGATAATACATACCATCTGATAAAGACTGTTCAGCTCTTCTGTTGGTACTGTCAGCTGTTTCTTCTTGCAGTTTGTTTCGTTTTTGGGGTTTCATTTTTCTATCTGATTTTTTTGTTCTTTGTTCTTCTCCTGATTGCATGCTAGTCTCACAAGCGTCTTTCCAAAGTAAGCATTACTCTTTTTTTCTGTTCTTCTAATATTTCCGTGCCCACTTCCCCTCTGCAACACCTCCTGTCTTGTGAGCTGCGCTGTGAAAAACCCCCCCAAAAAACAACATTCCTGTTTTTCGAATGCTTCCCCCTGAAACCCGGCTTGCCCCCTTGTGCACACTGCAGCCGTTGCGATCCCCATCTGCACCCTTCATCACAGCAGATGGACGTTTTTTGCAATACCAATAACCCTACGCAACCTCACTCACTTCCTTTCCTTTTCCTCTTTCCTTCCTTTCCCTTTCTGGTGGTTTTATATGACATGAATTTCTACAGAAATGTCACATCAGGATTATTTGTTGTTGTTTTTTTCCTATTCAGATGTAGAGAAATTCACTAAATAGATAAATAAATATTGCAAATTATTGTCCAAATTCCTTCCTCACCTCCTCTTCCTGTTCCCTGCTTGGGCCTTTGTCCTGGAACTCTCTTTACAAACTTATCTCACTATTACACTGCGGTAATGAGTGCTTTATATCTGTTATGCTGTGTACTGTAATTCCCTTGCTGTAGAAGGATGAACTCTTTAAAATACTGCCAGCATCCTAGTCCAGAGCAGCAGGACCGGATCTTTATTTAAGCAGCCTCTCTGTCATCACATGAAACAAATTTATCTTTTTTTTTTTTTTATATTTAATTAATAAATTTTTTCTTGCACCACAGGCCCCAAAATTCTCCAGACTGCGGTCACGTTTTGTCGCATCAGCTATACTGTAGCTCCATCATCTAGTTTGCTACTTGTCGCAGTGTTTTTCATGTCAGTCATTCAATTTATGGCTCAGCTATACAGTGACTCAGGCTATAGGATGCGATTAAAAAGCTAATTTTTTTTTTACCATAAATGAATAGAAAGATGCAAAAATGGGAGAGTGAATCAGTAAATTGGAGGTCGGTGTGAAGAGAGCCCTCCTGATGCTCTGTTTGCTGCTGCGCAGTCACACAATCAGTTTAGTGCACACACATAGATCCTAATTGATCATATGACTCTCCTTTTATGTGCCACAGTTCGAACCCTCTCCACCCCCACCCTAACTCTTTTGCAATATCTCCCATATATATAGATATATATATAATATATGTATATGTATACATATATACACGAGCCTCTGTGGCCTGCAGTGGTCACATGACCTCAGCAATGGCATTAGGTCCAAGCAACGTGAGCTCGATCGCCCCAACCCTAATGATGCACAAATCAAAGATGCATTTGGTAGAAGAAACGTATGCGCTGTGCCTCTATGCAAAACGGCATAAACGGCAGTCCTGATGTAATAATAATAATCAATCAGGCATCTAATGTAACATATCCAGCTAGATGGAGAGGCTGACCTAACTACTCAGTCAGCCCTCTGACGCTGTTACATCGGTATTGGCAGTGTTATTTCAGAGTTGTACTTGAGCCACAGGCGCTTACGATATCAGTGTGTCGCGTTTCCATTCCTGTCAGTGTTTACGTTGCTCATTGCTTTAGTTGACATTTTTGTTTCTCTTTAATTTTCTTTCAGTATGACAGGCTAAACCTGATTAAAGTAAGCATTTCTTCTTGTTTTCATTTGACCCATTCACAATCCTATCTGCCTCCCATTGAGTCCCTTAGGCCTCCACTTACCCATCATATAGAGATGGATTTCTAGTTCCTGTCCCTCTTGTCCTTTCCAGTGCGCCCCCACCCTCTGACTCAATGCGAAAGGATCCTGATTTCATTCTGAAATGTTAAATAATCAGCCCGGCTTAATCAGAAGACTGATTCTACTGTAGTGATTGTCAGCACTGTAAATGACAAAATATTATTATTCGAGCCAATTCTTTTGCCCCGACACAAAACTATTTCTTTAAAACAATATGTCCTAAAATTTAAACCAAGAAATCTTTCCCTCCTCTTATGTAGTCACAGGAAGTCAAACACAGTGGCACATGCATACATGCACGCCTTGTCCAGACAGTGGACTCTGAGTCATTTCTCTCTGTCACCTTCAGATCAGAGTAGCGCACATTGGCCCAGCTATCATCACAGCCTTGAGCCCGCTTCTGCAGCTAAATGCTAGCTGACGCTGCGCACACCAGAAAAGCAGCAAACCCTGTTGAACAGAAAACAAACAAACTAAATATTTCTGTGTTTTAAAATTACAGTTTTGCAATATTTAGGGCTTCATTCAGTCCATGATTTGTGTTTTGTGGCAATTTCTAAAGCTGCCAAGTCAAAGTGTAATACGAAACATATGACTCACTCTTCAGCTACACTGTCACAATCAACATCATCGACTTTTTTTTTCTGTGTTCTTGCCAAAACTCAATCTGGATTATCCGCAAAGTCTGTTATTCACATCAGATTTAACTTACTGTGCCAGTTTGGGGGTTTTTTTGTTCTTTTATTAATATAATATTTCTTTGTCAATCATCCCTCTGCTGCCAGACACATGCTGTATGATGCACTTTCTCCTCTTTAGTCCCCGTCTTCTTCCCTCTTCTTTGTTCTCCCCTTTGAATGATCACCTGCATGTTCCCTCTGTGGGACTTCTTGCATTTAGACTGTTAGAGTTGAAAGCGTGTTTATGTGAATGGAATTGTGAATCTTATTAGGCCGCACCTCTGCTGCCCTCTGCTGCTGTAAAACCGCAACAGACGTGATTGTTTGTCTAAGAAGAGACCTCAAAAGAACAAATTATAGAAAATCACCAGTGACACGTTTCACACCCATTACAGCTCATTTAAATATCATCACTAAACTACAAAGGTGAATTAATTTTCACATTTTCTTTAAAAAATAAACTCCACGCAGGCAATGTGATGATTTTTGAAGACATATCGATGTACGTCTTGTTGTAAAGGTATTTTGAAATACAAACATAGTATATCCAGTCAGCGAATGCAGCACGCAACATGCTTTAGAATTAAATTACTTTCAGTTCCACCAACACAGGAAGCAGGTCTTCCTTGGAAGATTTGGGGAAAAGTCCTATATTTGATTGATAAGTAGACATGTCTGTCTGGGTGCTTACGTAAGTGGACTGGAAGATAATTTAACCCTCCATCGTTTCCATGTTCAGGATAGAGTACATTATTTAAATAGTGTGGAGAATTCTGCTGTTAAGAAATTGTTGTTTGACATCTGATGGATCTGGTTATTAAAAAGGTGATCGTGTGTATCTGCATAAGCCTTCAAGCCTGCTGCACTGTTCACTAGTTCCACGGAGTTAAATGCTTTTCCTCTTTTTCTCTTTCCACAGAAGAGCCAAAGCTGGTACAACGTAAGTCACGCCTTCTTTATCTCCTTCTGTCTGTGTGTGTGTGTGTGCGTGTGTTTGTGTTTGTGTGCTGGGGTGTCTTCATGTCATGTTTGTGACACCTGAAAGTGTTGGTTTAGTTGCTAACACTGCTTAGGAGCTGAAAGGTCTGTTGTCCTTGACCTTGTTTACTGGAGCACTGAACCACCAGTGTGCGTTACTGGTCCTGCAGGAAGGGATTAGCAGGAAGCTTAAAATAGCAGCAAGTGGGCCTTTGATGCAGCAAAGCAAGACAACAATCCTTCAGCACTGCAGTGCAAGATTTGACTAATATGCCCACATATCTGACTGGTATCACACAGTATAGAATCGACGCAGATTATTGCAGTTTTGTGTTTTCACCACAAGGTGGTGTGCTAACACTATTTTCCTAACCATGGTTCTCTTTGTAGATAGCAACTGAACATCCACTTAACAAATATTTTAAACCTTTTTTTTTTTTAAACAAAAAGGTTGCCAGCTGTGTGGGTTTAAGTGGATTTAACCACTAATAAGTGAGAACATAGTTTCTACAGAAGAGTCTTTATTGGATTTTTTCCCCCCATTTTGTGCTCTTTTTATTTCTTCTGTTGGTTTATTTCCTTTCTTTTATTCCCTGTGTGTACACTCTGCCCCTCTCTCCCCAGCATGAAAGACAACACATCCTGAGAGTAAGCATGACTTGTATTTTTGTCCAGCCCTGATTATCTTTGACTTGTCTCTCTTGCTCTCAGACTGGTGGGATTTTTTGATATCCCTCCTGCCTGTTTCTCATTCCATTGCCTTCTCTCAGCACTCAGCGTTGCTACCGCCAGCAAGTGACACGCTGAAATAGAAAGCACTGTGCTGTCATGATAAAGCTCAAAACAAGATCTTCCATATTGTGTTTTCAACACGGTGTAGAAGAATCGTACAGCACAATTATTCTTTCGTAGCAGTAACAGTGTTCAAAGGGTTTTTCATTTTACACGTGGACCTGTGAGCACAAGTGAATTTCTATTTCTGGCGTGCAACAGGTGGTAGCACACTGAGTTCCTCACTGTACTAAGCAGCTCAGTAAACCATCACAAGGGCTTCTGAATGCGCCATGGGAATGAAGCATGGTGCTTTAGGTTGTGGCACGTTTTCCTCCTGCCCAGCTCTCTTTCCTGCGTCCTGATAAGCACGGACACTTGGTCTGGCATTAAAACAAGGAGAAACACAAGGCCCTAACTAAACATAGCTGAAACATGAAAAAGGATTCTGAAAGCTTTTCAATACTTCGCTAATGCACTCAGCTGTAATAAACCCATTTCATTTCCTCTACTGACCTACTATCTGGAACAGACCGTAACAAGTGATAATCACTGCTGTAAGTGCCGTCCTGTGGTTCTCAAACTGTGGGGTGGGCCCCCTGGTGGAGAATAGGGGCACCACAGGGGAAGGAGCCACATTAACTTAATTTATTACAGTTTAAGCGGAGGAGGCCGACGCATGAGAGTTTCCTGATGCTATTATTATTAGTTTTATTTCAATAAAATTACCAGAAAATAGACATTATAGTTTGCAAACCACTGGACTGCACTGATAATCTCTCACATCATACTTACAGATGATATACTGCCGGCTACCAGCACAGTGAACTTGTCGTGTACAAGATGGCAGGATGATCTGCCCTTACCTCCAGATTATGTTGCTGTCAACAAATCTCTGTAAAAGGCCAAACTTAACAGTGAAGTCACCCTGCTCATTAATTGCCACGTTTTCTTGTTCCTTTGTCTTGCAGATCTGCATTTTTGTCAGCGGAAGCACTGCGTGCCGTGTTTTTACCCTGAACACGGTCACAACTGTTTACATGCATGCTCCTTCGAGTCCCTTTGTACTACAAGCCTGCCGTCTGTATCAGTTCTGCAGCTGAAAACAGTCCACACATATACTGCATATAAATATATGCATTAGCTTACAGCACCCAGATGTTGAAAGGAAATTATTTAGTCTTTAAATAAGACTGAAATGTTTGGTGATGAGTAAATGCTATGGACACAAAAGACAAATCTACTGTGGCTTACAAGTTAAAAATAGTATTTTGTTTTGACATACAGAGAAGACTTGAGCCATCAAATTTAAATCAGCACATGTGATGCAGGGATGAAGCTTTCCAGCATTAACTCACATTAAGCACATCAAGCTAAGAGTTGCACCCAAACAAGCCAGTCAGTCTTTGTAGCTTCGTCAACTTCTTAAGAGTAAGAAGTTCACGTTGTTGTTATTTCGAAGTTGCGTTGGCTCAAGACTAAAACTACATAGAGTGTGTATGTGAGACAACTTCAACAGGATAGCTGGCCTCAGGTCTCCGAGCCACAAACAGGGAGGAAAAGCCTGAAAATAAGAAATGTTGATATCACATTTATGGAGTAATCCCTTAATATGAATATTCAGAATTGGCATTACAATGTTCTCCTCAAACCCCGCTGACAATGTGAATCGGGGTGAAATTCACCATCACAGCTGATTCATAATGGTGAATTGAATTAACTGCTCAGCATCGGGGCTACCTTCCTGACATCTTGTACACTAATCTTTACACACATGTGTTTTTACTAAAGCTCAATCAGCCGGAGAAACGTGTGTCTAACAGATCCTTTTTCAATTCACTTGGTTCTGACACGTAGGTGTTGTAGCATTCATGCGCCTGCTTGTCAGACACTGTGTGCATGTGTGTGTGTGCACGTCTACGTGGCAGTAGCGATCGGCCACGACTTCGAAACTACAGTGACTAAACATCCACCTTTCCTAACGCGAGCCCGTACGAGGTAGGCACGGTCACCTCACTTTCTTAGGAGCAGCATAATTGCATTTTCTTATTCGCTTTGCATCTACACAAATGTGTGGCCTCCAGGAAGTTGGCAGGAAAAGAGAAAACAAGCAACAAACAGCAAGATAAGAGATATCTGGACACTAGACAGTGCATGAGTTTAGTGCATGGAGACCAACTTTCCATAAAATGAACAACAGCGGTAGTAAAATAGAGAGTTTATTGTTAATAGGATAAACACACTCCTCCGGTACACAGCATAAAACCCCACCCAGGTTTGCAGTACCAGTCTCCTCCATCCCCTACTGTTTGTCCAGCATGTTAATAGTTAACCAGATCGATACACGCTGTGTGTTGGTAGTTCCACTTTATACCCCGTTCGTCCTAGGCGTCACTGTGCCGCCTGAACTCTGCATGCAAAGTCACAGTCAAGTCAATGAACTCTTTCTTTCCTTAAGCTATAAAGCTACAAAATCGACACGAATACACGGAAATACCACAAGTACGGGATGAAGCTTCATTAAGTTTCATGCTCATGATGTAAAGGCATGTTTTCCAAGAAGCCTGTGATATTTTTCTTTCTGCTTCCTCAACTTACGCAAAGATGGGACTCGTGGCTGGATTCCAGTGCCCAAATATGACTTATAAATTTGCTTAGAGCAATGAAAATCCAAGCCACAGTTACACTTGTTTTGTGTTTTTGTTTTTTTCTCTCTGTTTGTTTTTTGTTTTGCTCACCAGTCAGACCTCCATAACTGCGCCCACGTTTTTGAGCGCCGAAGCATTTTTTTTGTTAAGAAAATCTGTCGATTTTAAGTGCTGCTGAAGTAGAAGCTCTCCATCCTTCTCGCCCACTGAAAGTAGCAGAGGGGGATCAGGTGTCAGGAGTGCATGAATGACCTCAATACCAAGGCAGGAAGGAACCACTCCATACTTGCAGTTTCTTGAAATCGCCGGCGTTCAGCACGTTCAGTACTCGTACTTTGGATTCCAGCGGCCTTTCATTCATAAAATAAACGTTAAAAGCCCAAGAGCAAAGAATTATCGAGCGCGTATTTATTCATTCTCCTCGCTCTGCTATTTAAACCCTGGCTTGCGACCCGGTGCAGTCCCTTTCAAGATTGATGGTGTTGTTTTGCAGCCAGAGGTAACTGGAGGTTATGCTCACATCTGTTCTCTATAACTCTATAACTCAATCACTCGCTCAGACTGTAAGACGGACTCAACACATACTTTGGCTTTTTTTCCCTTTATTCAGTCCTACTTTTTTCCCCTACAGCTACATCTTTGTTTATATTAATCCTCCAGTCTGCAGAGTAAACTCGCCTCATTCTTTGCTGGTCATAAACAGAGTAATTATCAGGCACTCAGACCTGGACAGCAATACACACACACACACACACACACACTCATGCTCTGCTTGCACACTTACGAGGAGGAGTAAGCAGAAAAAAGGAAAAGGCTACTGGCGTGATAATAAAGGACTTGTTGGCTGGGGTTACTAGAGGGCAACGGCCGTAACTCCTCTCCCTGTCTGCGTGAAAGGAAGCGAGAGAGAGGCACAGAAAGACAGAGTGAGACAGGAATCATGTGGCTGGAGTGCGTTGTGTCCACTGCTCAGTGTTGAAAGGGAGCAGCACCCAAGAGGAGGAGGGGAGCACGGATACTACAGCTTCAAACTGCTGCACACATTGTCTGGCTTCTCTTATTTTCCCAACTTTTCTCGAACTGACAAGTCAAGTCGGCTGTGAGACGAGCCCACTGGGGCGCATTTTTGGAAAACTTGTTTCCATCCAGGCAGCAAAAAGGATCTGGCGCCCTGAATATGGAACTGGATGAGGACTGTACACTGTCTGACTGGGAGGCCATGCTGGAGCTGGATGAGGCGTTGGCATTGTGGGTTCTGCAGGGTCCAGCTAGAGGGGAATGGGGTTGGGAGTGGGGCTGGGCTGCCTCAGACCTTCAAGACCCCGAGTGGGACAGTGAGGAGATTCCTGCTGTAAGTCGACCCCAGCTCGTAAGCCGAAAACATCACGGGGAGAAGCGTTGAAAAATGAAAATGTAACCTTGAAGCGGCAAAACAGAGGATCGCCCAGAGGGCTTTTTTAGGGAACTTTGTGTGCTGTGCATGCTGCTGTGAGCGTAGTTCTGTGGTAAATCCCCACCAATAATTCAAACAAGTGGTTTGGCTGTGAGTCTTTGCTATTTGAAATCTTCTAGAGCTCACATAGGCCTGTTGTTTGGCATGATTGTCCAGTTACTATGTGAGTGATTTCATTTGTCAACAGCGGAGGTTGTTTCTATGGGTTGTTTTAAAAAATGGAAACATGATGATGTCTGCAGAGAACAGCATGATTTTTTTTTAAGAACACTTTCAGTTTTTTGGCTTTAGACTTCTCCCTTGAGCCTCGATCAAAAGGAATATGTATTTTCTTTTCTTTCTGCTTAACTCTTGTTGCTGTTATGTTTTCCTGAAGTTTTCCTGTTGAAGGAAAGCATCTGGCACGGACAGTGAGAGCCTTCCCTCTGGTACACATTTGGAGATATATCACAGGCTAATCTAGTCAGCTGAAGCCAAGCATAAAGAAAAATACTGGTCATATGGAACAGAATATGCTTCCCGTTTGATCCTAATAAGCCAACACTGTCTGCTTGTTTACACTTGAGATTTCATCGATGATCCAACAAAAGCCTCACTGTCAGAAATATGTCGCCCTGTAATGCAAATAGGATATCCTGACTCATAAATACCAGTCATGGCAGCATGTGTTTTGAATGATTTGCACTGGGCTGATTCTTTCCTTGTATTGCGCTTTAAATCGGTTATGATGCGTCCTTTCAGATATCTCGGGCTACGTACCTCTGCTTGCCGTACTCTGTATTTCCATTTGCAGTAACTGTGAAAATCCCCCACAGGATGAAAGTCACAGCATGATTAAAGTAAAGCGGATATACCGATCAAACCTGTGGGTGGTTTTAACAAGGTTATCTCACATGCTCGTGGAAACAAGTAACCCAGGCTGTGTGACAGAGGCAACACTTGTGAAAAGAGCATGAGGATGCGAGTGTGTGTGTTTGTTTGTGTGTGTGTGTGTGTGGTTTCTGACTCTGCCTGTCACTGCAGGTGCTGAGCCCGACATACAAGCAGCGCAATGAGGACTTTAGGAAACTCTTCAAGCAGCTCCCTGACACAGAGAGACTCATTGTGGGTGAGTGTACACACTGAGGCCATCTGAGTACTGGCAGGGTGCAGCCAGCTTGGTAGTAATTAGAAAATGATTAATCCTTCCGGAGCAGACAAGTACGGGATATTCCCACCGGCTGACATCATGGCATGACTGTAAATATGTGTCGATTTTTGTCACTGAGTAAAATAAATCCCACGGTCTTCAGAGGCCTTAGTGTCATTGTTTGAGGAGACCTTTTCCTTTTCGGGCACTCATGTGAACACGTAATGTGAACACAAGTTTCGCTCACTTGTTGTTGAGAGTTTCTCAGTGTTCCTATGAGTACAGTCATTGTTGTAAATGCTTCCGACTAAATCAAACTGCATGTGAACTTGACTCAAACTTGCTGAAATGGTCAGTTTTGTGTCCTATTTGTTGTTGTTGTTTCTGTGCTACATGGTGCAGTTCCTGTGCCATCTTTTTTCTCATTTTCCATCATGTCTGATTTCATGACTCATCCATGTTGCAGACTACTCCTGTGCTCTTCAGCGGGACATCCTCCTGCAGGGACGACTCTACCTCTCTGAGAACTGGATCTGTTTCTATAGCAACATCTTCCGCTGGGAAACGCTGGTATTGCTGCACTTCTGTGCATTCTTTCTGGCAGTATTGGGTGTGTGTGTGTAAGTAATGGTGTACATTTGTGTGTTTGTTTAAAGCTGACGGTGCGGCTAAAGGACATCTGCTCAATGACAAAGGAGAAGACCGCCCGGCTCATTCCCAATGCCATCCAGGTCTGCACAGACACTGAGAAGGTAAGGGATACGCAAGACTTTGTTTTCAGTGTGTACATGTCAGTGTTTATTGATGATGTGGCTGCTGATAGAAGCACAAGGATGAAGTGTGAAGTTTACAGAGCTGTGCTCTCTGCTCAGATTCAGCCAAATACTGCCAAACTGATCAGACAGCTACAAATGGATGATGAGATACAGCACCCCGGGAGTGCAAACCAAGAGTTTCTTAAGGAAAAACAACAGGATATTCTTCTATGGCCCAGTCAGTCATCTGATCTCAGTGAAACAGAGGCGCTTTTTTAGTTATTAAATGCAAAACTGCAAGAAAATGACACAAACAAACAAGCTGCAAATTAAAGACTTTCAGTAACTTTCTAGTCCCTGTACTTTCTTGGGAAAAAAAATCTGAATTGAAGCTGAAAGTCTGCATTAGAATCACACATTAAATGTTTGATTTACAGCCCACTGTGGGGTGGTGGTGTGCAGAAGCAAAACTACAAAATTGCGTCTTTTTCCTCAAACATTATGGAGGGCACCCGTAAATGTGTCATAAATATGTGCTTTAGTTTTTATTTTCATTTATTTCAACTAATTTACAAAATTATTTCTCCCTTTCATTTTGGATTTTGTTACTTTTTAGTTTCCACTTATTTAATCTCCCAGAACTGACTCTCTTCCCTTTTTTTCTATTTGCATGTCTTTGTACATGATGCAAATTCCTTTATTTATGGTGTTATTTTAGTTCCATGTCGGCTAATACGAGATCGCGTTTTATTCTCTGCAGCACTTCTTCACCTCGTTCGGAGCCAGGGACAGGACGTACATGATGATGTTTAGACTGTGGCAGAATGCGCTGCTCGACAAGGTCAGCAAATCCAATTTGTGACTTTATGCTTTGGTCTATATTTTTTTTCTTTTGCCACACATGGGATGACAACAACAAATTGCTGCATGGTTCCCTCCTCACTCTCTTCATTCCTTATAACTGGTTTGTTGATCTTCTGCAGCCTCTGTGCCCCAAAGAGCTCTGGCACTTTGTTCATCAGTGCTATGGCAACGAGCTCGGCCTGACCAGTGACGACGAGGACTACGTTCCTCCCGATGATGACTTTAACACCATGGGGTATGTCTGGTTATGGTGCTGCATCAGTTACTATGGCTACCACTATAAATATTGTCATTTGGTTGCCTAATTTCCCAAATTAGAAAATAATTATTCCGGCCAACATGAGCCAGAGCCAGTAAATACTGAGTATTTTCTGTGCCGATGTACTATTAATACAGTCACGGTTTGAATGCTTTTATTCTACAATGCACTCACAGTGAAGGCTAAAGGCTTTGTTGCGAACATGTCTACATACACATAAGAGACAGTTTGCCTCAAAATCAAGTTTACATGTTTCTCCCCTAGTGCTAGTTATCGATCTCGATCTTTTTGTGTTGAGCTCATCAGTTTTGGGTGGAGGTGTCTGTGTTCCTTATGACATAATGTAAATAAATGGCACTTGGCTCACTGTGCTCAGAAGAGCCAAAAAATGTATTTGAACAACTCGTTCATTCGAGAACTCATGACCTACCTCTGCAACATAGAAGCACATGAACCTGTGAGGGTGTGACATGACACAAACGTGTGACATAATATAAACATACAGAAACAATAGCACTCCCCTCATGGAGCGGTAATGTTAGCTAGTTCCTTTGATTGGCCAGCATGAAAAACATTCCTACATAAAACCACGAACCATGCTGCCTTTGCAGTGGTTGATTCGTAGACAGTGACAAGGTCATGCTTGCAATCAGTAGCCATCTGGGTGTGTCAAGTTGACAATAAAATGTCAATAAAAAGAACTCACTGTGCTATCAGTTTGTGATTGAACGGGGTCAAGTCAGCAGTCTCTGATAACACGGGAATTACCAGTGACAGATAAGCAGAAATTAGAAATCTCTTGCCATCTGTTGTAAATCCATTGCTGTCTACAATCAGAGAAATTCACATTTACTGCTTACATCCAGACTACAGGCAGAAACTCATATATTTGTAACTTAGCTATTCTATTATCGCAGACGTCTCTACAGCTGCAGTAAAGTCTGCGACTGTCACATTTCTCCATTGCCTTCAGGTTCAGTGAGGAGATTCCCAATGAGGAGAACGAGATCAACAATGATAACTTGTCCAAGAACAACGTAGAAGCCAAGCCTGAAGGGAGCCCTCCTCCTGTACAAAAGAAGCTCATCCCAAACAGCACCATCCCCACCCCTGGCAACCACGATACCATCACAGTAAGTTGTTGCAGTTATGCGCTATACTCTGTTTTTAACCACGTAAAGCCTAAAACATGAAATCATTGGCAGACAATTCTCTTCTATTTTTTTTATTTCAGTGTTTATTCTACCTTTTGACATTTTTCACGTTTTTAAAAAGGAAATAACATTTTACTTTGCATATAAGAGTTTCTATTTGTATCATTATTGCTCCATTCAGTATTTTTGTGCAGTTTTTTTCAGGTTTTTCAGTATTTAAAAAAAAATCACAAAAATTTAAATCAAATCACATGCAAACCTCAGAATCTCTGAATAACTTCACCATATTGTTTTTCCGCAGTTTGACCTCCCAGCTGAGGAATATGCAGACTGCCTGCCAGATGGTGATCTTCTGGCTGTCCCTCTGGTGGTGGAGGAAAAGAATGAGACCAGTGGGCCTGCTGGTCCTGTCCCATCGCCGTCACTGGACTTCAATGACAATGAAGACATCCCCACTGAGCTCAGTGATTCTTCAGAAACACACGACGAGGGTAATTGCAGAGAGCGGACGGTCTTTGCTAACAGGACGACTATTCATATCATTTAAAACCAGAACATAAGAAATGTATTTTCTTTATTTGTTATGTGTGTTTCTTTGCCGTGTAGGAGAGGTACAAGCCTTCCATGAGGATCTCAATGGCAGGCAGCATATCAATGAGATCTACAAGTTCAGTGTGGACAAGCTGTATGACATCCTTTTCACGGAGTCTCAGTTCATGAGTGATTTCATGGAGCAGAGGCGATTCTCAGGTCGGTACACCTGATGTTCCTGCACGTGATTCAGTCGAGTCACGTCTGAGCTCCTTGGAAAGAGTGCAAGCTAAAAAGACAGGCTTTATTCAATTTGAACATTTGCTTTTCAGATATAGTGTACCATCCATGGAAGAAGGAGGAAGATGGGAACCAGACCAGAGAAATCATGTACACCATCTCTCTGTCCAACCCCCTGGCTCCCAAAACAGCCACAGTCACTGAGACACAGGTAGAGTCATGTCAAGTAGAAACATGTTTAATTATTTAAGCTCTGCTGTGCTTTATGAGACACTTAAACTACATTTTGTTGATTGTATCAGACTCTATACAAAGCCAGTCAGGAGAGTGAGTGTTACATCATTGATGCTGAGGTCATCACACACGACGTCCCCTATCATGACTACTTCTACACTCTCAACCGCTACATGCTCACGAGGGTGGCCAAGAACAAGTGTCGGTTACGGTGAGTCATAAGACTTCGTGACATAATTATTTTTGGACCATCTTTCCCCGTGTTTAAATTATTTTTAAGTGTTTCTTTTCATGGTTTATCTCAATTTATTTAGCATTTTATTGCAAAGACAGAACCTGTGTATAAATACAGTCATCCTCTTCTCCTAGGATATCAACAGAGCTGCGTTACAGGAAACAGCCATGGGGGCTGGTAAAAGGCTTCATAGAGAAGAACTTCTGGAGTGGGCTTGAAGAAAACTTCCGCCATCTTGGTAAACTCCATGGTTGTTTGGTTGGCTGTTTCGATTGGTCACATCAGTCATGTGGTTTTCTTAACAAGAAGACTCAGAGAGCGCAACTCGAAGAGCAAGGGCTAAACTAAAACCTTTATTTATGATGCTTTTATTACAACATGCTGACGTCAGCTTGTTTTTATTAGAATATGATGACATCAGCCTGTTATGGCGTCACTGTGAGCTCGTAGAGCATCGTATTTTTTCAAAAAAGGGGGTGTTATGCTCGATATGATCTTGGGCGCTAACAATGAAGGTCAAACTCAAATGCTCAGCCAACATGGTACCCGTCCTCCAAGGCCTGGTATATTGTTGTGAACTCCATAAAAATTGTGGGTAATATAGTTTTTTTTACTGATTTTAACATTTGATGTGATCTTGACCCTAGTTATACCTTAATTAAATCAGCTGAAGCTGTTATTGGTATCTACCATCACACAAAACTTTCACAATGATATCTTTGGACACTGGACTGCAGCAAACAGACAAACAGACAGGCAAAGAAATGGAACCGATTACATACTCCCCCCATTCAAGGGGAGAAATAATGGCAACGATAGACTTAATCTAATCATTGCTTAATGCTTAAAGAGAGAACAAGAGCATGTGGATGTTTTCAACAAACTGAAAGTGCATGGGTGTTATATATATTTATATGTAACAGGTGTGTTTTTCCTCTCTCAGAGTTGGAGCTGTCCAAGCTGGAGGAGATACTCATGGAGACTCACCAGCTGTCTCCAAAGGCAAAAGTGGTGAAGAACTCCACGGTGAGGCGCAAGAAGAGGCCGCTTCCCCACATGCGCAGCCAGCATCTGGATGAGGCCCTAAGCCCCGTTACCACGCCGACAGATGAGGAAGTGATCCAGAGGATCAAACACGTGGCCGGCTCCACGCAAACGAGACACCAGAGTCCAGAACACCTGCCCGGAGGTTTCGCTCTGTACAGCGTCTCCAAACTGCTGCTCATCATCAGCTTTGTGTAAGCAGCTCATCAGAGCACGCACGTGCACACGTCATTCCTGTGAGGATGGCTGCACAGTTGTCCATCAGGATGTAAATGTACATTTGACACATGCTGACATGACTGATTTTAATTTCCTTAGAAATATGTCATTATTGTTCTTTTGAGTGTAACTCCTTTCTCCTCTTCTTTCATTGCCATCCATAGGATCTGTCTCAGGTACACATATATGTTCTCTGATATATAGACAGATTACAAATTATAGAAAAACTAACAAACTGTCTTAGTAAGGTACTGGGCCACTATATGTCGGCCGATTGGCTTTAGCGTTCCTTAGCAAGTTTGCTCTTTTATTTAATGTCTCAATGTCGGTGGAGAGTGACTGACTGATGCACAGTCCAAAGTTTCCTGTAGGCGTTCAGTGATGTTGAACTCTCATTACTCTAAAAACAGCTTTGTTCCCACGTGTGTGTATCAAACGATTTAGCGACGCCCTCGTGTCCTTTATCCTGGCAGAGAGGATAAAGTTTGCAAGTAGATCCAAACTATGTGAGCAAAATGCCCCCAAAGCATAACAGAGATTCATTTAATCATTACATTTGTCATCTGTCTGTATTCAGTATTTATTGAAAACCATCCCACAGTCAAAGTGTACTTTCAGTATACATCAGAGTGCTCATACCAGCTCATTAGAGGCATTATGAATGATTTCAAAGTGAAGCTGAGCCCTCGTTTGCTGACTCTCTTTCTTCATTTCTGTCTCTTTGCCTTCCTCCAGCCTGGTCCTGCTTGTGTTCCTCAACATGATGCTTTTCTACAAACTGTGGATGCTGGAGTACTCTGCGCAGTCCTTAACAACCTGGCAAGGTCTGCGGTTTCATGAAAGGTAAACACACCCCAACAGATCCATGTGTACACACGGTTTATTGCACTGTTTTTTTCATTACTCTTTACACAGAACTTTCTGTTAAACACATTAAAGATACCCAAACACTGTAATACAATTCCAGACAGGCACACACATCCGTAAAGTAAACTGCATCCATATTGCCTTGAACAGGAAATCTCTGCGCTTGCTTACTGATTGTTAGCAGTCCCTTAAAATGGAAATAATGCTTCAGTGCCTGCACCCTTAGGTTGCTGTGTGTGTTTATCTGTGTGTGTGTTTTTCCAAGTAAACTGCCTCAGACGCAGATGGAGTGGGCCCAACTCCTGGAGGCACAGCAGCGGTACCACGATGCTGAGCTGCAAAAGTGGAGGGAGATTATCAAGTCATCCGTAGTGCTGCTGGACCAGGTATAGAAAAAGTTCATTTTTTTACAGCAGATAGTAAATAATAATATAATTAACATTATTTAAATTAAATAAGATAAATAATAATTCTGAAAATGTAGTTTTACTTTTATTTATGTGTTTCAATATTTTTAATAGTTTCATTTTTAATATTAGTGTAATTTTAATATTATTTCTGCCAGAAGAGATTGTACGTGTTCTCATAAATACATTCAACTCTGACCAAAGCTTACATTTGCTAACTAGCTTGATTTTCATTTATGCTATTGCGACCAAAAGTTTGAATAACTTTTTCGCCTGTTATTAAAATGGAGAAAATACTATTTAACATGTGTTCCTGTTGTTTTGCTTCTTCAGATGAAAGACTCTTTATTGAACCTCCAGAGAGGCATTGGTTTAAGGGACTACCCCTCTGAGACTGAGGAGAAGCGCAGTCGCTATCACTGACACACTACCATCAGGCCATGAGGGCATGCTGTGCAATACGGGACCTGTTTTCTTTTTGAACCAGTATGCCGTCAGCGGCAAGACAGAGAGAGAACAGAGGGGGGTGGTGGGACCAATAGTGAGCGGATCCATGGACATAAAGAGAGGAACAGTCATCTCTAGCGTATGGAAGTTAAAACCACCCCCAGAGGACGAAACCACGGACAGAAAGGGTCCCGATCACACACAGGAATCGAGCTATCCCCAACAAGAGGAGGTGCAAGACTTGCTTCCTCTAAACACCTTGGGGATAACCGTTTCCTTCTACTCTCTTTATTTCCAAGTGCATCCTACTGTAAGCCATGTGAGCCAGGAGCGTGGCGGAGAGAGCGAAGGAAAACTACTGCATGCATTTAGACAACCTATCTCCCCTCAGTCAGTGTTAATGTGGTCCAGTTCCAGTCTATGTGTGTCTGAAAAAGAACAGAAGAAGAGGAGAGATTGAGTCAAAGAAAAGGGGAGGGGGATCCTTTTGAGTCTTAACGGCTTTCTACACTCTCCGACTGTTCCAAATCAATCGTACCCTAGAGGTCCTCGCTGCAGCGTCCCTTCAGTAAACCTCCAGGTGATCAGAGGACAGGTTCACTCCACGAGAAAAGACATATTGTAGCTGGGAGATCAGCTTCACTGATCAGCCCTTATTGCCTTGTTTGAGCCTGGACTGTGTGGTTTCTGTCCGGGCTGGTTCCCTGACATACCGATGAGTAGAGCGTAAGATTGATAAGATGCGATTCGCAGGCTCGGTTTCTCCCATCACAGTGTTACCTACCTTATGTCGCATTATTTCTCATCCTTCTGATGAAGTCGAATGTATTAGTCTGGGGGAAAAAAGAAAAAAAAAGGCTGGACTTTGATCACAACTTGATAAACTTTGAAACGGGGACGCTGCAGCTAGACTGACCAGTAGGGAGTCCTGTGTTCTTACATGTTTTATTACTAAACTGTGATTATATCTCTTTAAAAATGTTTCAGATTGGAAAGAGGTCATGAATATATTTGAAATATATAAGAATATTTCATTATTTAATAATATATATATATATATATTTCAAAATATATAAAAAACATTACCTATATTTATTGTTAATTTATGTACATACAGAAATGATCAGAGCTCTAGACCAGTTAAAGAATTTCTAACAAAAAGTGTTTTCTTCTAAAGATGCATGCCAGATATGTCTGTGACATGTCCAGTGTGCAAGTATGATTCTTCATTCGCGCGATTATGTTCGCGCACGTGAGCGTGTGTGTGTGTGTGTGTGTGTGTGTGTGTGTGTGTGTGTGTGTG